GCCTCGGCCTCGGCCTCCCAGAGTGCTGGGATCACAGGCGTGAGCCACCGCGCCCGGCCTGCTACTTTCTCCTAAACGATCTGCCTCCCTGTATTTCTGTCTACCCCACTGACAGTCACCAGAGGAAGAGAATAAACAACCTTCTTTAGTACCCTGGTCGTGGATTCTTCCTCACGTCACGGTGAGTCCCTGCTGCAATCGTGTCTTTGGTCTTATTAGATTCCAAAGGAAACAAGGACTCGGGGGCTGAGGCAGGACGATCGCTTGAGGCTGAGACTAACCCAGGCCGCACAGCGAGACGTCTCTGAAAAAGTGGACAAATGAGCCGGCTGTGGCGGTGCGCGCCTGTAGTCCCAGCTCCTGGGGGAGCTGAGGTGGGAGGATCTCTTGAACCCGGGAGTTGGGGCAACGATCGTGCCACTGCACTCCAGCCGGGGCAACAGAGAGAGACCCCACCTCTTTAAATAAAAGAAGGTGTAAACGATCCAAAGGAAAAACAAACAAACAAACAGGATCACAGTAAGCGACACAGGACTCCGAACAGAATCGAACGAACAATTCTGAAAACAAAGACGTTTCACCTTCAACCTCTTCCCAGTCATCTTCGCTCTCCTCCTCATCCTCTCCTCCGTCCACGGCAGCCCCTCCCTTCGGATGGCGCGTCCTTCCGAGTTTGCTTGGAAACCCCCTGTGTAAAGAGCACAGGACGATGAAGAAGGCTGAGACGTCCCGGCGCTACTGTCCAGCTAAACAGAATCAGAACGTCCCCTTCTCTTCCCTGAGACTCTGCCGCGAGCGTCTCAGGGTCGTCACGGGGCTCTGAGCCTCATTTCCTCGCGACACGGGTCTCGAAATCTCATCAAGATGGGCCCCGACCGTCAGCCTGATGGACGCTAGACGTGCCGTCGGAAAACCCTGCGATCTGGAGCGTGTGAAAGGAAACACAGCCGCGCCCGGCAACGGGGAAACCTAGAAGGAACCAGGATGATGACGGGAGCCCCAGAAGGGCGGGCTGGGGTGTCTGGGTGCACGGGCGCAGCCGGGGGCCGGAGAAAAGGGAATTCACGCTTGCTGATCCTACCATAAACCAACT